AAGAAGTGTAGGAAAGAAAAATTTATTAATTAAGAATTATATTAAAGAAAATAAAAGATAAAAATAATATTTATATCCTTCTTTTATTATAATATTAATGTGTAAAAATATGAAAATAAATTTATAAAAATAAAATTTTTTAAAAATTTTAAGAGAGTTTTGTTCAATCAAACAACCCCATAATATTTTAAATATTATTAACGTAAAGGAAGAGTTAGAAAAATAATAATTTTTCACATATTTTTTAATTTTAATGTTTGAGATCTACTTTTCACTATATTATAAAAAAAAATTATTATAATCTCATTGTAAGCACAAATTAATTCCCAAACACCTTAATTGTTTTAGAATAAGAAGTGCTAAATGGATCACTAGGTGTTGGACTTGGTGCCAATGATCGTGCATCTACATTATTATGTTCCTAGACAACTAGATTCGCTTAGGAAAATTGCATTGGATTAAGGTATTTTGTAAAGTAAATTTTTTTTTTAGCTAAAATGATTTGATCACTAATATATATATATATAATTCACACCTTTATAAAAAAAAATTAACACCTGTGCTTCCCCTGCTCACCCCATCTCCTCTCCTCCTTCGGACCTAAATCACTTTTTGTAAGTACATAAAATAAATAAATACATATTTATATATTGCAAAAGTGACCTCACTAGATGTTATTATTAAAATAAAATATGCGCCAACAGTGAGAAAATAAAATATGTCAAAACATTAAATAAATTAGTGATAATTTTTAATAAAAATGAAAGATTTTAAATTTTAATTAAATAATATGCAAGTAAACTAAGTTAAAGATTAAAAAAATTATTTTTTATTATGTAATTTAAAATAAATAATATTAAAAAAAAAAGAAGAAGAATATGCATATATGTTGTGTTAATTTGTAGGTCCAACAATCAAATTTAATTATCTTATTTTTTAAATAGGAATAATTCCAAATTAAGGTGATTTTCAAAAAATAATGAGAGGGAGGTTTCAAAAATATTTCTCCAAGAGTCCTAAGATTTTAAATAATTCTAAATTAGTATTTTGTGCTACCAATTTTACCCTTTTTTGTCAAACTAATTTACCCATGTTGCTTAAGTTGCCTTTGGAATTGCAATTACAAGCTTTTTCTTTTAATCGTATAATACTTCTAGATAAATAT